TGAAATCCCCAGAAGCGGTCTCATCACGTAACTCCAAGGAGTCCATCAACAAAAGTGACTGAGAAGCTCCGGTATCCCATAGGATATATATGGGGACAGGAGGAGAATGCTCATTCAGAGCCACAAATCCCTCTGACACAAATGGAAGAAATTCCTCCCTCACAAAGTCAGCAGTATCAGGCTTCTTAGCCTCACAAGGAGCAGGCAATTTAGCAGATCGGTCATCAACTACAGGGGTTTCTAACCTTGTCTTCACAAAGGCATTGGGTTTGGTATCCTTTTTCTTTTTCTTTCTTAGCTTTAAGGAACCAACAGTTGTAACATGACCAGATTTCTTGCAATAATTGCAGACTAGGCCACTTTTGTCACTGTCAGCTTTCGCACTTTGATCAGACCTTTGACTGGATTTCTGAGCACCATCACCAGATTTGTCTTTGTCTTTGGGTGAGGAATCTTGGGTATCACCGTTACCCTTCTTCTGAAACTTGGACCATCTGTTGTTACTGCTGGACTGAAATTTGCACTAATGTGTGAGAACATATTCGTCTGCAAACTTGGCAGCTGATTGCAAATTCAGTGCTTGCTTATCATTAAGATAGGTCTTAATATCATCCTTGACACAGTTCTTGAATTCTTCAACTAACACTATCTCTTTTAGTGAGTTGAAATCATCCTTGACTTCCGTAGAAGTACACCAGCGCTCATAGCAAACCTTCTTCTCGTTAGCAAATTCCACACAAGTCTGATTGTCAGATTTCTTCAGACCTCTGAATTTCTGTCGGTAAGCCTCTGGAACCAACTCATAAGCTGTCAAAATAACCTTTTTGACAACCTCATAATCAGAGGAATCATCTGCAGACAAAGACGAATAGGCTTGTTGAGCTTTACCCTTGAGGACAGTTTGCAAGGAACAAAGGAACAGTTTGTTCCTTTGGCCACTGACAACTCTTAGCTACCTTCTCGAAGCACTGGAAATACTTATCAACCTCCTTCTCTGAGAATGGAGGCACCAGCTTTACCTCCTGGCTAGCCCGAAATTTGTTTTCAGCTTGCATTTTGATTTTTAGTAGCTCCATTGGGAGCCTTTCTTCTCTATCTAATTTTTCTAAATCGAAATCTCTCTGTCTCTGTCTCTCTCTTTCTGCTCTTTCCTCTTTCTCTCTCTTTTTTCTCTTCTCTTGCTAATTTTTTCTAACTCAAAGTGCCTTTGTTTTTTTTTTTTCCTCCCTTTCTATCTCTAGCATTTTTAATTTAAGTTCCATCTCTACATTTGGATTTTCCACTGGAAACTGTTCCAGATCTCCTGGTGCAAACACATTTTCATCAATGTAATATTCAACAATCTCTCTAGCCAGTCTTGCTTTTCACATGGCTGGTTTTACATCTGTCAGCTCTAACTGTCTGCATATTTCTAGCAGTTCTGTCTTTTTAAAAGACTTCAAAACCTCTACGGTTGGTGATGCCAAGAAATCATCCATTGCTGTTGATCTGCCAATATATATCTAGGAAAATTCTAAAAACAATTTCACAATTTGAAATTTTAGATTTTCAATAAATGACTCGCACAATGGTCTATCCCGGACCCGAGCCCCCAATTTGTTATGGCCCCAATTTGTTATGGCGTCAATTTGTCATGACGTCACGGACAGCAAGGGATGACAGACAAAATTCTTAAACTTCAACAGATTTAATTAAACAAACATTTAGAACTAATCTACAATCTACCCTACTGACCAAGATTGAAATAAAAAAAAAGATAGTTACAGTCCCTTGGTAATTGAAATGGGCTGCTATGTTGCGATGTCCTGGGACAGGAAAATGCTCCAACACAGGCAAAAATCCACAAAAAGCTTCACAGGTCTTGAAAAGAGTGACAGGTCTGGTCAAATGTATCCTTCCACAATTTCTCCTTGCAATTTCTCCAACTACTCTACACTCTCTCGATCTTTCTCCTTATGTACTCTTGTCCAGCCCCCTCTGAGGCATGCCCAGGACATGCCCAACCTAGCTCCAGACTGGGCTTAATAAAAAAATGTCAATACTGCCATCTAGTGGCCTTTTTTTTTCCACATTACAGTAGCAAAACATAGGATAAAATTATATCAGCGCTTAATTGCTAGCGTTTCTCCTGAATTTGTGCTAGGCATACAAATGATACATCAAATGACAGAGGAAAGTCCACAGAATCCAACGATATAAGCCATGTCATTTTAAATCGACACCACACTCAAACAGCAGGCATACACTTTACATTCTACAGAGATGAGCAAAAAATTTTTCTTACCTTTGACATTTTGTAATAAACTGTGTTCGAGGGTAAATCTGCGCTTGCTATTGTTAGCCCAACATGTCCGTGTTATATTGAAGCTCAATCTGCCAGTCTTCGTGCGCGTTTTTTTCTAGGGCACTGCTTCAAAGAATGTCAGCTCCAGAGCATTCCGCTTGCTCACATTGGCCCTCATTTATCAAACGTGCGTACACCAAAAAAATGGGTGTACGCCAAAACTCCTGCAAGGATCGACATTTATCAATCTGAACGTGAACGAACAGTCCGCAAAAATCTCACGCCAGTTCTGACCAGGTGTGCGCAGATTTGAAACCAGCGAACAACATGCAGGAATGAGCGCAGCTGTCAAAATGAGTACTAAACCATATGCAGCGATGCAGACGTCATGCTGTTGTTGCTCTTATTAGTAAAATGAATAAATAGGCTAAATAGATAAATTGGCTAAATTAATAAACGAACGAATGAATAAATAAATAAATAAATAAATAAGACACCTGTGTTGAGAAATTAATTAAACTTATATTTTGAGACAACCTGCTTGTCAGCCCAGACGGCTGACAATTACAATCAATTTGATTAAGCGCAATGCGTGGCTTGGCAGATATGCAGTGCAGTATGTCAGATGTTCATCCAGTCAGATATATACTGAACAACAAAAGAAACGCAAGTTAGCCTCATTAAAGGCAGACTGGAGTTTGCGCATAATTATTTTAGAAAATCAAATTTATTACTAGCGCGTGCACATTTACACTCGTTTCATCAAACTTTTCTTTATTTTGTGGTCACTTCGACTGAGTAACCATACGAGTACATTAACTAACTAGCTAACTTGCGTTTCTTTCGTAGCTCAGTATATATATACCTACGGACACTTCGACCGTGATCACATTTTGACAATGGCTTCTGTTGTTAGAGGAATAAGCTTCTGTCCGACGTGAGAGGAACTTTCGGCACAGAGAAGATCTCCCCCGGGAAAGTGACGAGTGGTTGCTCATTTTGTGTGGCACCCAATAAAATGTCATGGAGTAACAGTGATAAAAGTACAATGAAGAGTGATTTCCACAGACTGTATTTTAACAAATACCCTCATGCAGCTCCGATCGAGGCGGTGGGGACTCATCCATGTCCCCACCGGCTCATGTTCCCACGATGGAGGGGGAGCCTATCAGTGCTGCCATGCGCTCCTCGAATGGTGACAGCTGACTGGTTGGCCTCCATCGGTCCATGCGCTGCTGCGCCTGAGCGCAGCAACCCATTTTTTGGCGGCAATCTTAAAAATCAGACCACTTTTTTAACCTACATGTAAAGCATTTGGATTGTCAATTATGTAGGCTATATAACATGAAATATCATGGATCTATAAATTGAATTTATCGAGGCCGATGTTATTCGCACTTATATGTGTGGCCAATGCTGAATTTTTTTCTTGACCGCACTTATAAGTGCGCCAGTTGATGACCATTCCAGTGCCGCTTAGAAAGTACCGCTTAAAATAAGTTTGGCCAAGAAAAATTTTTAGCTTTGGACACACTTAAAATAAGTGTGGGCAATGCAGAAATGTGCATCTTGGCCACACTAATAAGTGCGTCTAACAAGAATTTTGGTCAATTTTTGTGCTTGGACGCACTTAAATAAGTGCGAATTGTCACTTCGATTTATTAATGAATTAAATCAAACCTCTGCTGCACTCCGGTTTTCCACCCCAATGGTGTTTACTGCAGCAGCAATAGTTTTCCAAACTGCAGCCTTCTGGGTTCCCTTTATGCCACTCTAAGGGCTTCAAAATAAAATTATTTTGTTTTTCTCCATCTATCATCGGCCTGCTGATTAAACCTCGTATCTTCAAAATGATAAACTTGACAGGAGAGCAAAAAAAAAAAAAGTTTAATTTTGCATTTAAGAATGCAGTTGAGCTGTATTCGGGTAGGATGACTATTTTTCCTCCAAGAAGGTATCCAATCAATAAAATTTTGTATTTTGCTATGTTTATATTATTATCGTGGACATACGAGTTTTTGTTTCTTATCAAACTGTAGATACGAGGTTTTATCAGCAGGCCGACGATATTACCTCCTCAGGGAAGTTCTTTCTTCTTTGCCGTCTTTTGAGTCCATGTCGTAAAGTGGGCAGGACTGTGCCTCCCGGAGCATGAATTTATAGGGGCGTGTCATGTAAAGTACGATGGTTTCAGCCGCCAGATTTATCAACGCCAGGCCAGTTCTACACCGAAATCAGCGACGTACACACTTTTAGTAAATCAGACGTGACACCTGGCGAACGCTGATATTTACACCAGAATCTACACCAGATCCTACGCAAGTTTGATAAATGAAGGCCAATGTATTTTCCTCTCTGTGATTGGCGTGTGATGCCATTTGATTCCATGGGCTCTGATGTTTCCAACGAGCCCTAACCCACCTTAATCGCAGAAACCAAGCCTGAGATAGAGCCTTGCGTTCCCGGTGCGTCAAATGTCCTCCGGCCATTCAAATGTACTTTAGTAGGGAAACAATATAAATGCTTAACTGGTTTGTTTGTAGAACTTTCGGCATAATTATCCGCTAAATAGTCAGCAGTCATTTTCAAAGTTGTCTTCTGATTGGGAATCCTTGTGTCATTCCGCGTGAATATTGAGAGCGCAGCAATGCAAGCAAGGTTTGTGTTTTCTTGCCTCACTCTATATATCAGCAATTTAACAATAGGAAATTGATCAGTTGAAGTAGCCTAGTGGTTAAGGTGATGCACTGCATGCTGCGTAACCAGAGTTCAAATCCCTGTACAGCATGCACTTTTTCAGGCAGTAATAGCATTTTTCTTCCATAAATAATTGCTGGGTTTTTGTTTTTACTTTTCACCTTTTTTTTTTTTTTTTTTTTTACCTTATCTTTGTATTTATAATTTTATTTGCTTTCTTTAAAAAAAAAAAACAAACAAAACTGCTCTAGAGGCTGACATTTTCTCGGGATTCCCATGGGACACGGGATTCCCGCAGGATTCCCGTGATTCCGGAGTCAATTTACCTATTAGGCACGTGATTGGGACGTGACAGGAAAAATGTAAACGGGAGTGAACGGGAGCGGGAGTCAAAATTAACAGGTCTTTTTTACTTTCTTTTTTCTATCTTTAATCAAACAAAAATGCGTGTTTTTAATGATAAATAAACATTTTCTAATCGAAAGATGTACGTTCTTTGATGCAGTCAGCTACCACCCAATGTATGAACTTTATAAAACATCACAAATGATTTCTCCCCCCATGCAGAAACAGTGCGCAAATGAACAATGCTTTCAGTTATTGCTGGGCTTCACTAAGCTTAACAACCGCAGTCTCGCTAAGCAGTCCTGCGAAGCTGCTTATGAACTTGTTATGTCAACCGGCCACGGTGGGTAAATACTTGAGAATAGCCATGTTTCCATCCACACGTTCTCATGCAAATTAAGTCATATCAAATGCTGGCACGTAAGCTGGCACATAAGCACTATTACAACTTGTGCAATTATCATTTGTTGGGAGACGCGATCCATTATTGCTAACTAGTTAATTTTGTTGCCTACCACACTACTTCGGTTCACTCGAAGGTTCTGCGATTCAGTGCGAAAATGAATGGAAACAGCTTAAAATGTCAGAAATCTATTCGATACACCGAATTGATCGCATAGCAGCAAGTAACGTCGTTACGCACAAGTTTTTATTCGCTTTAATGCTGTTAGGTGGAAATGCATTTTCACCACCTTTATTCGCATGAATATTTTTGGCGAACTTAAGGTAATTCGATTGACTAGTGGATGGAAACATAGCTTATGTCAAGCATAGATGCACAGCTAGGGCACTCTGACATGTCCACACAGAATTTTATAGCTTCATTAAGGGACAAACCTGTCACAGCTGTAAGCACTGAGGCATCAGCACCTTCAGTGCTTTCATTTTCCTGTTTGTTGGCCATGACACTGTAAACTGCATTGATTGCAGACTGCAATAATCAAGATGACCCAGGGCCTAATTAATTAATTAATTCTACTTGTGACACACTTAAAATGTTGACACATTTGTGTACTATTATATTTATACTTGTAATTCAGCCTTAATTATTTAGTGCTTTTGTATTTCTTTCATGAGTAATCACAAGGGGGCTGAAGGTTGTCCTAGCCTATTACAGTAGCCTACGTTATGTCGCTTGTTCCAAATTCTGATTCACTTTGCAAAGTAGACCTGAGTACATGTTGTGATATTATGAAGTTCGACTCTGTCAAGCTGTCATTCAGCCTGCAATGCGCGCAGGGCAGACAGGATCCGTTTGTCATCACAATCGTTTACATGACTGTGACGACGACTGTTTTTTCTAAAATAGAAAAAACGGTAACGGGACAGGATCGGGCATGATTTATTCGGGATTGGGACAGGACGGGATTATTTTTTTGACTTTGTTACGGGACCAGGACGGGACGGGAATTTTTTTGCGGGAGCGGGACGGGACGGGATTGAAAAAACACTCCCGTGTCAGCCTCTAATCTGCTCAAGTGGAGTAAAACTTCATTTTCTTTCTATGTATTATCTTTGAATGGGAAAATGTATACAGGACTGGCAGAAATAATAACTTAAAAAATATATATTTTAAAATTCTAAAAATTGGTTGTATTTCGATGGAATGTATGCCTATAGTGACATATGTGAAATTATATGAGTTTTACAGTTTGATACCTGAGAAATATGAAATTTTGGAGAGGCCACGTAGACATTCCCAAACTAAAACCTCTCTAATTTTGCTCTGATTTACTTAGAATAAACCTTGGCACAGATAATGGTGAGATTCTATGCTGCAGTTTTTTAGAGGTTTCAGATTGCAACCGAATAATTTCAAAAAGGATAGAAGAAAAACTTTGTTAGGTGCACATGAGATGTTTCATTTATGCTGTGTTCCAACTTCATTTGCTCTGACTCAGTGGCATATGCACTGATCTTACACCATGACAAAAATCCCCTTTATTGCGGTTCCAAGATTATTCAAATGGGCCAAGTAGTCACAGAGATATACTCATTTCATTTTGGGCATGTCATTTTCAAAACAGATGCTCAGGGCTTAAAAAGTTAATTGCAGGTAACTTGTTCAAGTTCAAGTGACCAAATCTACATTGTCTGTGGCCAGATCTGTATTGGGTGCAAAGCAGCTAAATCCGACTTTTGTTCAGGACTGCAAAGCCACAATGGCAAAGCACATATCATTGAACTGGGTAAGAAACTGAGGGGACATGAAGTCAGCCCAAATACAGAACGCTAAGATATTTTTGAAGAAAATGTTTCAGGGATTAAATCTTTAAGTTATTTTCCCTTCATTAAATCGGCACTATTTAACGGAAGATTTTATTTTTTCTGTTGAGGGGGTTGTTGAAAAGTGGGGGGAACAGATCGGGGTCCCCGTAAAATTGGAAGGCACGTGTCGCCCCGCCATATGCACCCCTGGTGATATACAATATGTTTGTATATTGCATGTACACAAACCATTCATAGCTAGCAGAACTTCATAAAATATCAAAAATATATCTTGCACGTTATAACTGGTCTTTTTTTATTACAGAAATCCCTTTTCAATGCACTGCACATATTTATAGATCTCTCAAATTCCCAGCTATCAACAAATAATTTCTTGGCAAAACTGCAATCCTGTGCAATGCAGAGATTACGTTCCTTAGGCAGGAATGTCAAAATCTTTCTTTGTACAGCATTAAAATGTGATGGCTTTTGAACATTCAGGAATCCTCCCGTATATTTTTTTTAGGTAAATCAGGAAAGTGCTCAATTCTTAAAAAGGGACAATTATGAATTGCGTAGTCTGCTCAAAAAGGAAAATGACATAATATTAGAAATGTACAAGGTGAAAAATATCACATTAATTTCATTTCAGGCAAGCCTCATAGCTTTACTTCATTTCCATATCAGATAGGGAGTATATTTCCTTTTTCAAAACAGGCCATGAACACCGAATCATGCGTGGGTCTGTCTAATTTCTCTCCAATTACGTTTGGTCAGCCCAAAAGGTCAATTCTGTGCCATTCATTATTTTGAATGTTTACTAATGACTTTGCCTAATCCTTTTCTTATCCGCTGAACCTGTGCATCATCTAAATGAGGGGCCAGTCGTCAAGCAGTAGGTCCACAGTTTTAAGAGAGGGGATGTTATAACCAAAAAGAATGCATGGCCCCTTTACATATTTATATATGGTGGGCACAAAAATTACTGGCACCCCTAACTGGCGATGCACAAACGATACTTAAAAAAATTCTAAGAAGTATATTGATAGATTAACTCTAAATAATAATGTGAGAAATACTGTACAATGTTAGTGCTCCAGTGGAACCAAACATAATCATTTACCGATTTAACTAAAAGTACATTTCCTCTGAATCAAGGTTTCACAATTAATGGCACCCATAAAGATTATTGTGAATAACATCAATCAAAATTAAACGAGGTATATAATTCCACTTATTTAAGTTTTATCTAAGTGTTAAGGAACTATGTTGAGTGATGACATCACTTCCTGTTTCTATAGGGTATAAATATGCGGTAACACACATGCAATATCCCTTGTCATCCTACACCACGAAGAAAACAAAACAACTGTCAGTTCCAAAGAGTCAGATGATCATAGACATTCATAAAAAAGAAGATTCACAAACAATTTAATATGCCACTGTCAGGGCAATTATTAAAAAATTCCAAAGATATGGAAATATTGAAAACCTCCATGGTAGAGGACACCACTGCATTTTCCCTCCCATGACACTGAGGAAGATGGTGAGAGAAGCAACAAAATCCCCAAAAATCGCTGTGAAGGAATAGCAGGCCTTGGTGGCATCTTGGGGTTACCAGGTTTCAAAAAGCACCATCAGGTGCCACCACCACAACCACAGGCTCTTTGGAAAGGTTGCCAGAAGAAAGCCTTTCTGACAAAGGCAAAGACAGATTGCAGAGGGGGCAAAAACTAACCCTAAGCCCTTCTTTCAGTACTGTAGCAGAAAAAGGAAACTCAAAGAGCAGGTTAAGTGCATAAAGAATAAAAATGGATCGCTGCTATATGATAACAAGGATATTGCGGATGCCTTAAACAGTTACTTTGTTGAGAATTTTACCTCAGAGTGGGTCTTTATTCGGCCAGAGGGCACGTTAAATGCTCAAGATTATTTAGCGGAAATTGAGGTTAGGATAACGAAGTATTAGACAAGTTGCATAAACTAAAGGCAGATAAGGTGGCGGGTCCTGATGGCTTATATCCTAGAGTGCTCAGGGAAGTTGGTGAGATCATCTTTAAGCCGCTATCCGCCATCTTTAGACGGTCTTTAGAAACTGGAGAAATACCAAATGATTGGAAACAGGGCAATACAATACCAATATATAAGAAAGGGGACCGTACTGAGCCAGGAAAATACAGGCCAGTCAGTTTAACTTGCATTGCGTGCAAAATATTGGAATCTATCATAAAAGATGAGCTGGACTTATCTCTTGAACGTAACAGTATCTTGAGGGATAGCCAACATGGTTTCCGTAAGGGAAGGTCATGCCTGGCAAACCTTCTGGAATTTTTTGAAGAGGCCACCAAGACTTATGACCAGAGCAGGGCTTATGACATCATATACTTGGATTTTCAGAAAGCATTTGATACAGTACTGCATAAGAGACTAATTTTTAAAATGAGCTCCATTGGAGTTACAGGAGGTATTCTGGAGTGGATTCAAAACTGGTTTCAGGACAGAACACAAAGAGTGGTGGTCAATGGTATCTCATCTGA